CTGCGCGGCGCGCGCCCGCGCGCGCCGCGGGGCGGGGCCGACACCGAGGCCGCCCCGCCGCAGCGCGCGGCCGGGGCCGCTGCCCCCAACTCAGCCACCAGATGCATCGGGCGGGGGGGGGCGGGAGGCGAGCGGGAGGGGCGGGGGAAGGAGGGAGGGGACGCACAGAGGCACACTGATACGATATAGGTCCTCCCTGGAGGCGTGCGCCCGACCCGGACACGCGGCCCATCTCGTGGTGTGCCGTTCCCCGAGCGGTGCGGCCAGAAAGCGCCCGCCACGATACACATCGTATGGGATTTCTCGGTGTGCGCGTCGCCCCTGGGGAGGGCGACGCACACGTAGTGTGAGTATGGTAGGGTGCCGCCGAAGGGAGGCTGGGGGCTCGCCATCGCTCGGAAGTCCCCCCCGTGCAGTTTTCGGTGTGTCGCGCGTGTTTTCACAGTGCCAGATGATGGGATGTTCCTCGATGGCCCTCGCCGAGCAACAACAGAAAATGCACACGTCCAAGCGATGCCAAGGCGGGGGGGATCCGAGGAGGAAAGAGGGAGGTTGGGGGAGGAGGGAGGCAGGAGGAAGAGGATCCGAGGAGGAACAGGTGGGAGGGAGGCCGAAGGCAGAAGGCAGATGGTGGAAGATAGGGGATGGGAGGGGGAGGAGAAGGAGCAGTAAGAGGAGGAGCAGGAGGAGGAGGAGGAGGAGGAGGAAGAGGGAGAGGGACGGCGGACGAGGAGAAGGAGGAGGAGGACGACGACGACGATGAGGATGAAGGGAGGGGAGGGGGGGGTGGAGAAGAATGACGAGGAGGAAAACGAGGGGAAGGAGGAGGAGGAGGAGGAGGAGGAGGAGGAGGAGGAGGCGGGAGGACGAAGTGGACGTTGGCCGGGAGGCGAGCCTGGCTCCCGCACACGCGGGGGCGCGCGTGCGGGGTGGGAGGGGGGAGGGAGAGGAGGGAAGAGAAGCGCGATGAGGTGGGAAGGAGGAGGAAGAGGTCGGAAGGAGGAGGAGGAGAGGAGGAGGTGGGAAGGAGGAGGTGGGAAGGAGGAGGAAAAAACTAAGGTGGGAAGGATGAGGAGGAGGAGGAGGAGGAGGAGGAGGAGGAGGAGGAGGAGGAGGAGGAGGAGGAGGGAGAGGAAGGTACTGGAGAGGAGGGGATGAATACGACCATAGTGAACGCAGGATGCAGTCACGATGGTGCAAGACACCCTTCCACGTTCCTGGCCGAGAAGCCCAAACAAGCTCTCCCTCTCTCTCTCTCTTTTTCCATTATGGAGAGGGGTCCCCTTTTGGGAAGCGAACGCCACGTGGCGCTGCCGTTCAAGCGAGGGCCTTGTTGGGAGGAAAAATCATCGATCCCTGTTGATATGGGAAGTGCCAGAAGCTGGAGCACCAAGAAACAGAATCTAGCGAAGGCGCCGTTTGGAACGGAACTGCCCTCCCCTTCTGTGCACCTGTTGCATAAACACCTGGTCAGCAGAGCGAGTGGACCAAACGGCCTTACAGTCCCTGGTGCACAGATGAAGTGATTGTGCCCGGTGCGGGATCATGTTCTCACATACTGGGCATCGTTTAACCGATCCCCATCCCCAGCAACGTGGGCTGGGCCCCACTGGCCGATTAACCCCCCTGATGGGGATATAAGCTCGTCTTTTCGGGTTTCGAAGGGCATATCCCCAACTGAGGTGGTGAGACGGCGGGGCTCGAGATGTGGATGGGGATGGGGATAGACATCGGTTAAACGATACTGACCGACCCCGCGACCCAACCGCGACCCGCCCCGCGACCCACCCCTGGCCCGCCCCGCGGACCACCCCAGACCAGTCACGCGAGCGACCAACGGCCAGCCCCGCGACCCCATCCGCGACCCACAGGCGAAGCGCCCCACGACCCACCCACGACCCAGGACCCCGATCGGTCACGCGACCAACCCGCGACCCACACTCGGCCCGCCTCGCGACCCACCCACTTCGAGCAGGGACCGACCGTCCCGGCATTCCTATAGGCCTACCACGAGGTGTTTTTCGAACCCAAGCATTCTCTAAGAACAAAAACAATACTCGTAGAACATATTTTTGGATCTGCGGGGCGAGAGCGAACCTCTTCCGATAGATGTTAATAAGCGGGCCGCGCACAACATTAATTTGGGAGGGGGGGCAAAAGAAGGCGGGGCCTCACGTCAAGGCCGAGAGAGGGCGAAGCCCTGGCATCAGGCGGTGCCGATGTTGAAGTGCAGGAAAAGGTACACCTTGGACAGGAGCCCGGCGGCGAAGTCCCGGGAGTCGAAAAGTCGGCGGTGGCGCCGTCAGCGGCGCTTCGAGAACACCAGCCTCATCAACTGCGGGGGAGGACGTGCCACGCCACCAGGACAACGTCCGAGAGAAAGAGTAGCACCTATGGGTTGGAGCGCAACGTCGCGACACCAAATATGCGCCGAAGAGGTCCAGGCCGTGGTAGTCCAATCCACGAACATGGGAAAGCAGCCGCACTCTAAGGCGCGGCGGCCAGGCGAAGCCGGTAACTTGCCGACCATAACCGACAGGATGCCAGTGCGCTGCAGGGAGGGGGCCTGCCCCGCAGTGGCAAGCGCGTGGGAACGGGCAGGAGCCACACACGTTGCGCTGCCGTTCCGCAGTGTCAAGGGCCAGGCCTAAGCCGCGCAGAGCCAAGACCCGCGGAGCCGCCGAGGCGGCAAGGTGCAAGCGCCAGGCACCAGGCCGGAGCCGCGCAGTGCTGGGCGCTGCCGCCATGGGAGGGGCGGTATCGAGCGGGGGGGGGAGAAGCGGGCAGGAAGGAGAAAGGCCGCCCCAGCCAGCCGGCGGTCGCCAGAGCAGCCCCGCACCAGCAGCAGCGCGTGGCCGAGTGGAGCAGGGAGACCCTGCGGGATCAGGGGGGACAAACGGCCCCATCACCAGGTGAACGAAGGAGGAGGGAGGAGGAGGGCAAGTCGCCGAAGACGTTGACCAGGCCGACGTGGACGAGGGCGCCGCCATTGCCCGGACCAGGAAGGCAGCTCGGGCGGCGCGGGTGGCAGGTAGGCCCAGCGGATCAGGGGGGGCTAACAGTCCCATGTGCAAGTAGAAAAGGAAGAGAGGAGGAGGAAGGCAGGTAGCCGAAGGCGCAGACAAGGCCGCACTCGCGAAGGACGACGCGGCGCCAGTGCCAGGCATGGCGGCACGGGCAAGGCGCCCGTGGCAAAGAGGACCGTGCGGCGCTGCACCCCTTGACAGCGCCGCTGCGAGGCGCGCGAGGCCGACCCCTGCGCCCGCGTGGACGGCGGTGCCCGTGGGCCGCCGGGTTCCTGCAGCAGGGCGCTGTAGTCCCAGCCGCCGTCGCAGCGCATGCGGGACCAGGGGGCAAACAGTCCCAGGTCCAGGTGCGTAGGAGGAGGGGATGGGGAGCCAGGGCAGGGCGCATTGGTCAGCGACGCGCTGGTTGTGCTCGCAGCACAGCGACGCGAGACCTGCAGGGATCAGGAGGCACGGCAGCGCGGCACCCTGTGCGCCGTCAGGGGGGGGGAGGTTCAGAGCTGGTCAGCGCCTGGGGCGCTTCCCGGCCCAGTTGTTGGTGTATCCAGAGCTGCGTGCCTGGCCCTCCCCGCGTCCTTCACCTTTGGCACCTCCCTTTTCTTCTGGAACTCCTGGTACAGGGCGTTCTCGCGTTCCCAGTCCACGTAGACGCCCGTGTTCCAGGACCGCGTATCCACGTGGTAGCGGTTGCTGGCCACTTCCTCTAGAAATTGATCGATCATGCTGGGCTGCCGGCAGGTCGGGTCGAACTTGACTTGGCCCTTGGACTTGCCCTTGCCCCGCTCCTGACCCATATGCCTGCGCCACGAGTGCCAGGCTACGGTCAAGTGGTAGCCTCCCTCGGCCTTCAGCCTCTTCAGGTGGGCGGCCGCCGCCTCGTCTGGGCGTCGTGGCCAGCTGACACGGCGGGCCCTCCAGGGGCGGATGGGGTCAGGGAAGCGGCGATCGTCCTTGTGCTCAGGGTTGCGGCGATCGTCCTGTTGATGCCAAGGGGCCCACCCTACGCCCCTGTCGCGATCGCGATCCTGGTCGCGGTCGCGTTCCCTGGCACGGCCCCGATCGCTGGTGCCTTGTTGATGCCAAGGGGCCCACCCTACGCAGCCTGTCACGATCGCGGTCCCAGTCGCGGTCGCGCTCTCTGGCTCGGTCCCAATCGCCGGTGTCTCTGGACGAGCGCCGCACCGCGCTGTCGCACCGTTCCCAGGGGGCTCGATCCCTAGCTATGCCGCGCTCGCGCCCGTGTTCGCGCGAGGGGTGGGGGTTGGGCGCGGCGCGCCCGGCTCCTGAGGCCGCCATTCTGAGCCGCGCGTGCAGGGCACGGTCGTCGGCGGCGGCCATCGCCAGCTCGGTCTGTCCCGTGGGTGCGTGGGCTTGGCGGGCCTGGCGTGTTCCGCCTGCGTCGAGCTCGGGACTGCTGCGTCGCACCTCTCGCGGGTTCGTCTCGAATTGGCCATGCCCGCGTCTCTCTGGGGAGGGTGAGACCGCGTGGACCATGCCTGCGGCCTCCGCAAGCCTCTGTTTCTGGTCCTCCTCCTGGTCTTCGTTGGCATAGTCGGGGATATCCCCCTTGGTGTGCTCGCGTGGCGGCAGCTCGTGCGTGGGTCCCTGAGCGACCGCACGTGGCGTGCAGGGCTGGGCCCTGGATTTGGGCTGAGTCCCTCCTGCAGACGTCGCTGCGTCGCTTCCAGGGTCGGCGCCGAGCCAGGAGCCGGCGGGGGCGCCGCTGGCTCCTGCGGCGCTTGTGCCTCGTCGGGGGCCCCGCCCAGGAAGGTGACTGCACGGCGCGCCGCACTGCCGCGTAGGACGTCAACGCGTGGCGCCCTGGTCCCTGCACCCCAGACTTCAAGCCACTCGCTGTCGATTTGGACGATCAGGGTTCGCCCGTCCTCGTCGCGGGTCTGGACGTCGCGGATAGGTCCGAATGCTGCTCCGCCCAGGGGCTGCATGGACAGGGGCTCAGTGCTCTGCGCCGAC